TGTGCTGTAGGGCGTCAGTCCTCTTAATAACCTTCACCCATGGGATCCCACCAGCTCCTTCATCTACCAGCTGCTTCCTCTACTTATAGCCACTTAGATTCTTGGCTCTTCCAAGACAGACTATTTGTCATTTCTTGAGACTGCCATGCCTTTTCATTTCTCCATAGTCTTTCCTAGGCCTGGAATACCTTTTTCTTTTTTCTTTGGAAAATTTTGTACATTTTAAAGACCTGAAAGAAATAGTATCTCTTCTGTAAATCTTCCTTGACTCCCAAAACAAAACTAAGAGCTCTGTTATCTTACTGTTGTGCATTTTGCATTTCATACAAATAGACTTTTATTGTAATTATTATCACATTAGATTATGGTTATGGTTCTTTTTCTTTTTCCTTCCTCAAGTTGTTAGCACCTTAACCCCAAGGATTGACTTGTCTGCTCTTCTATCTCCACCATCTAAGAATTCTTGGCATATATGTACTAAGAAAGAAAGAAAGAAAGAAAGAAAGAAAGAAAGAAAGAAAGAAAGAAAAGAAAAAAAGAGAAGAAAGAAAAAAAAGAAAAAAGAAAGGGACTGGAGAGGTAGCTTCTTAGTTAGGAGCTGTTTTTGCAGGGAACCCAGGTTTGGTTTCCAGCATGCATATGACAGCTCATAGCCATCTGCAACTTCAGTTTCAGTGAAATGACACCCTCTTCTAAGCTGCATACACATGGTACACTTGCATGCATACAGGCAAAAAATTCACACACATAAAATAGAAATATAAACATTTTAGAGAAATAAAAGAAAAATCCAATATTTTGGAAAGTACTTGGGAGGCTGAAGCAGAAGGATCCTGAATTGAAATTCAACCTGAGCTACACAGTGAGTTCCAAGCCAGCCTCACCCACATAGCCAGACCCTGTCTCAAAAAAATAACAGGGTATGAGGGAAAAAAGGAAGAGGAGAAGAAAGAAGGAAGGAAGGAAAAAAGAAGATGGTTGCTGAATCTCAATGTGACTGCAAGGTCAGAAAAAGGCCTAAACCATCTTTTCTCCCCAATTTGTTATTTAAAACTTAGAAGCAATATTGACATATGCTACAGGATGATGAAACTTGAAAGCATGATGCTAATGGATAGAGACAAGATTGTGTTTTATATAATTCTATTTATGTGAAGTATCCAGAATTGGCAAACCCACAGAGATAGAAAGTGGGTAAGAAGCTGCCTAGGGCTGAGGACCTAGGAAGGGGAAAAAAAACAATTGCTCATTGGTTCAGGTTTTCTCTGCGAGGTGATGAAAATGTTGTAAACTGATTGTGATGTTGCTCAACTCTGTAAATATACTGAAAATCCTCCAGTTGTGTGCTTTAAATGGGTGAATTGTATGGTATATGAACTGCCTCTCTACAGGGCTGTTAATTTAAGTGTTCCTCAGCAAGTCCACACTGTCTGATTCAAGAAAGAGCTTCTATGGTTCCTGCTAGGAAGGAAGGTAGGCTCAGTGGGAATGAGTATGCAGGGGTGTGGCTGTAATAGGGTGCTGGCTTGGGAAAGAGGCAGCATTATGGAAATCAATTTGAGTCCCTGATAATTGAATTGGCCACAGAATATTTCTAAAGGAAGGATTCTGGTGAAAACGGAAACCACCTCAGTGAAACTAGATTTCAGCAGAAAAGGCTGAGGTTGCTTAATCCGGGTAAAGTTGTTCTTTATGCTGTGACTGGGTGTGCTCTCCTTACATTGGAACAACAGACTATACAGCTACCAGAGTTCAAAGCCTGACTCTGCATTTGCAGTTCTGTTTGCCATGCACAGTCAGTATCTCTCTGCCTTTGCTTTTTCTACTGTAAAATAGGGCTACAAGTAGTACAGTATCTTCTTCCTGGAATGAGGGTAAAGATTAAATCAGGGTTGAGAGCCCTAAAACAGTTGTCAGGGAAGCAGCTAGAGCCTCAGGACAAGAGAGCTGAAGGCAGAGGTGATGGCTAAGAAATAAACAGTCTGTTGACTGTTAGCAGCCTCATTGCTCAACCTGCCAGTTGGGCTCAGACTTCCTGTTCTCCTTGTCTGGGAGCTGTGCTAGAGCTGCTCAAGTCTGAACAAGATCTTTCTTGGCCCCTGGGGAAGAAATGAAGAAGCTGAATAGCAACTCAGCCTGGGCTGGGCCCCTTAACTTCTAACCATGTCCTTTCTTTCCCAGCAAATATCTGCTCCCAGAAACACTTCTGCAGTCCCAGGGTGGGAGACAGGAAAGGGTTCCATTAAACCCTGAGGTATTTACTTACCTTTGTAAAAAGCTGATCTCACACTCGTGTGTGTGTGTGTGTGTGTGTGTGTGTGTGTGTGTGCATGTGTGCGTGCAGGTACAGATGTGCTACAACAATGACTTGAAGCCAGAGAACAACCTCCGGAGTCAGTTCTCTCTTTTTACCTTGTAGGTTCTGAGGATCAAACTCAAGTTGTCAGGCTTAGCAGCAAGGGCCTTAACCCGATGAGCTTTCTCAGTGGCCTTGTTTTATTTATGGTGGAGGAAATGTGGGCAGGGGGCACAGAGAGGCTAATGGTCTTTTCCAAGCCACTTAGCTAGTGTTAAAAGCCAGAATTCTAGTTCAAGCCACCTGATTGCAAAATCCATGCTGAAACACAGCTGCACTGTGTGGGGAAACTGTGCTAGGTCATAGGATTAAAAGCTCAGGGATCCACAGAGCCCCCAGGAGACTTTGTATCTGCAAAACTCCACTCAGAAAACTGGCTGTTCATGCAGAGAATTCCTGATGACCACGTCTTGAATTTTCTGGGCTCCTCATGGGTTCTGACTTATTGCTGCCTGGGGTTCTCAGTCAGTGGTGCATATCAAAACACCTAGTGAGCTTCCCTCAAGTCACAAGCCCTGGTGCCAGCCCTGACCTGAATCATAATCTCTAAGAGGTGGACCATAGGTATGTATGTATTTTCTAAAGCTTCTCAGGTGACTATTTAGAAACCCTGCCAAAACTCATAAATGTGACTTGGAAATTCCAATATTTTAGCATCTAATTATATTTTCCAGCCTACCTTCTATGTATTCTATGTATCAGCTCCTCAGAACCTGATGTTTGATTCAAATCAAGTGGTCACCACCTTCAGTCCATCATCCAGCTTTAATTATGAGTTCCCTGGTCTCATGAATAGCAATGAGTGACATTAACACACAAGGAAATGCTGCACTAGCCCCACATGCAGATCAAGGGTAATTATGTTTTGTTTTCCCTGGACGTCACATATGTAGGGTGGTGTTGTGGATCAGCGGTTTTCACCCGTGCAAACATTCTCGGCTGAGGTCAGCCCAAGGATTGGTGGGAACAGAGTAAAGAGAATGTGGGTACAGCTAAGACTCAGTAGGATCTGTACGAGCGGGGCATGCAGAGAGCAGCCTAACCCCTGCTGAAGCAGGAGGGCCTCAAGTGTGAAGTTGTCTGGGCAAGGTCTGCCTCGCCACTCGGTAAGACCTTATGTCAAAACTAAAAAATAAAGTAAAAAGGTAGATGTGGCCTAAAATATAGGATTCAATTCTCAGTACCAAAATTAAGGGGGAGGGGAGGACCACTGTATACAGTTATAAAAGAAGCACACTTCCATCGGCATGGTGGCACACGCATGTAGTCCCAGCACTCAGGGAGGTAGAGACAGACAGGTCTCTGTGAGTTCAAGGCCAGCCTGGGCTACAAAGCGAATCCAGGACAGCCAAGGCTACACAGAGAAAACCCTGTCTCAAAAACAAAACAACAACAAAAATAGGCACACTGCTGGATGTGATGGTGCATGCCTTTAATCTCTGGATTCAGGAGGCAGAATCAGGCCTGGTCTACATATTGAGTTCCAAGCCATCCAGAACTACGCAGTGAGCTGCCATCTCAAAAATAAATACATAATGAAAGAGCTACAGTGCACAACAGCACCAGTCTGCTGAGGCCATTGTGAGCTGTAGCTCAGCCCAGCCCACTTACCGAGCCATACACAGTCTGTGGCTTGCTTTGTAACTTAGGAGCTGTGGAGACTGGATCTGGAACTCTCCTAACCTCTCCTTTCCAAGGCCATATTAAGTGTAGATGTGCTCCATTAACACAGAGGAGACTCAGCATCATCCCACACACAGATATTCCAATACGTTTGCTATTTCTGGAATGTCATATTCACAATGCTTTGCTTTTGTTATTATTGTTATTATTGCTATTGTTTATTTCTTTATTATTTTGAGACAGGGTTTCTCTGTGTAGCCCTGGATGTCTTGAACTCACCCTGTAGACCAGGCTAGCCTCAAATTCAGAGATCTGCATGACTCTGCCTCCTGAGTACTGAGATTAAAGGAGTGCCACTACCATCGTCCAGGTTTTTTTTGTTTTTGTTTTTGTTTTTTTTTTTTAAGACTAACACTTAATCTGTAGCCAGGTTGGCTTCAAACTCAATGCCAGTCCTCCTCCCTCACATGCTGGGAAAACAGACAGGAGAAATCATACCCACTCATACTGACATTTTTATTGGTTTTTTGTAAGATTTATTTTTAGTTATTGATATGTGTCCACAGGTGCTGGTGCCTACAGAGGCCAGAAGAGTTACAAGTAGTTTCAGCCACCTGAAGTGGGTACAGGGAACCAGACTCCAGACCTCTGCAGAAGCAGCAAGTACACAAGCACTCTTAACCACCTAGCCATGTCTTCAGCACCCACATTGCTGTTTTGTTTGAATTGGCTTTTTTTCTTTGTGATTTTTTTTTCACAGTGTCTTGCTATGTAGAGATTACCATGTAGTCTGGGCTGACCTTGAATTTATACCAATCTCTATTTAGCCTTCATGTTAATACGATTACAGGCACTGACTACCATGCCTGGAAAATCAGCAGTTTTCACTCATCTAAGCATTCTTGTCCAAAAGAGTCCAAGCAAGTCCCAAATGATATTAAGCTGCATGTGACCTTCATTGTGTTCTTCCTTTACTGTCCCCACTTCCCTGTCATACAAGAACCATGGAGAAGGCAGAATCTTCAGAAAAATCACATTTTATTAATCACCTGTATTCAGAATTATAAAAATAGATATAAATAAAATAGCAGAACATAATTATTAAATATTAAGTATATAGGAGTGGTCCTTACCCCACCCAGTGAGGATTGGATGAACAGGCTGACTAGTAAAAAAGACATCTGGCCAATAAGTGGACATCCACGTAAAAAGTGAAACAGACGTTTAGTGCTGGTCACAGGTCATGCCCGAGAATGGTACATTCACATGGAGCATTACATGCAAGACCAAGAGGGCCCCCACATCACAGTCCAGAGTTAGGGAAATACCTAGACTTGCCATTATACACAGGAATAAATCAGCTTTTGCTCAGGCTCATACAGCCTGTTCACAGTAAACACACATACACACATTATATATGATTTCCTGATCTGTTCATAGAATGCTAGAGTTGTTCCCTTAAGTCATTAGTGTCTCTACTCCTCAAACCACTGTTCTCATATTAGACAAGCCCCCTTAAAATACCTCAGCTATTACACTTCCTAGTTGGGAAATCATTTATTTCCCAACAGCAGACCTCATGAATGACCCGTTAGAGGAACCAGCTCTCCTCCTACACTTACACAGGAGACTTTTTAAAACTACAGATGGCTTTAGTCCATAAAAAGACAACTCCTGCTCAATATCATCCTGCGTCAGGACCAACTTTCCATCCTGGTTAGGAGAGCCTGGGTGGCCAGCACCCAGGCCTGTGTCTGAGGGTAAAGTTATTGGTGCTCACCATGGGGGTGCAGCACAAGCAAATGACCAATGCAGAGCCTATCTTTCTTGGCTTCTTCCCTCTGTTTGACGAAGATGACCCTGCTGCAGAGATGATGGTCAGCATGGAAATGAGTGACCCATATGCTTCTCCCTTCAGCTACCTGGAGGCCATCAGAAGGCTAGGCCATTCTCTTCTCCAATATGGGACTGAATCCAGCTTAGGAAGTATGAGACCCTCGTGTAGACACCTGGCTTGTCTTTTAGCGCACATCCGCGGCCCCAGCTCACAATCCCACTCAGAGTTGGGCGGCCATTGATGTTACAGACAAGAGGTCCTCCAGAATCTCCCTGGGAAGCCAAAGATATAGAAGTGAACTCTGGAAGAGGTGATGAAAGGGTTACCACCCAACATGTCTGAGAGAACAGGGAGAGGTGCCTAGAGTTGAGACTTGGCAACTCCCTGTTTCCTACCAAATCAAGTGTAAACAATTTTACTTAGCTTTCATCTGCCACTATTCAACCCACTTTCCCAGATCCTTGTATTCCTCACCTTGGAACATAATAACTGAAACATGCTTCCCTTTTCCTTCCATGTCTTAATACCATGTCATATTCTCTTTAAGGCATCCCTCCCTTTCTTAATACCTGATTGTTTGCAATTCACAATGAATATAGATCCTGAACAATGAAGTACAGAATCATTGATTTCGCCTGTTCTTAGCCAAAGGCCCAGAAGTGATGTGAATAGTATCAGTGTTTTGTTGTTGTTTGTTTGTGTTTTTGAGACGGGGACAGAGCCTCGTGATCCCATGTATTCCAGGCTGGCTTTGAACTCACTATGTAGCTGAAGAACTTGTGAACTCCTGATTCTGATCCCCTCAAGGGATGATATTACAGGTGTGGGTCATTACACACAGTACAGGGATTGGATTCAGGGCATCATTCATGCTAGGGAAGCATTCTACCAACTAAACCATGTTCCCAGCCTGTTAGTTTTTCTTATGGTCTACATTCCCTGAGTTGAGAATTGAACTCTACCACTATACCACTGTTTTTTGTTTTGTTTTGGGGGGGGGGGAGGGTGGATTTTTTTGTTTTGCTTGATTTTGTTTTATTTGAAAAAGGGTAGCACAGGCCTTGAGTTCTCTGTTTGTAGCTTGGGCTGGCCTTGAACTCATGATTTTTCTGTCTCAGCTTCCAAAGTGCTAGGGTTAGAGGTGTGCTCCATCATGTCTATTTTTTAAAAAATGGTCTTGGTCCCTTTTAGTCTAAAGTGTGTAGCACAGTCTCATGCCAAATGTTTTAATCTATAAGTACTGGCATACGCTCCCAAAGACCTAAATACTTGATTGTTAGGTTGTTGGCCAGAAAGAGACTCCCTAGAGCTGTCAGATCAAATCCAGAGCTCTGGGGAGTTTGGGGGGTGATAAAAAGAAATGCTTGGGAGTCTTACCTGGCAGGAATCTGTTTCCCACTGTGGATCAGCAGCACACAGCATTTTATAAGTGACTTCAGAGCCATAGTAGTGGGGTTGCTTACACTCTTCATGGGAAATAACCTTTACAACTGACATTTTCAAGTTCTTTGGGTAGAGATAGTCAGCTAGATGGAGGAAATAGATGTTCACATTAATATGTGTCTATAACTGAGACTCTCTACAAGGGTGAAGATAAAAACATATCTCAACAATAGAAATCCCTTATTCTTTGTTTACTCTATCTGAGCCTTTACTCCACCCATAATTGTTCATCCTTGTTTGACTTGCTTGACCCTCACTCCCTACTCTATCCTTGGACCTATTTGTCACCTCCATAGTGCTCCCACCCCTGTCTCCATAGTCTTCCTTTGATAGTCTGCTGCAGTCATTCTGGACAATAACACTCCCCCAGAACCTCCTCAGTCAGCTTCAACAGTCACTTACTTTCACTCTCTTGTCCAAAGCCAGTGATCTCACAGTTTGAACCAAAACTGGGATCACTAAACCTTGGGGGCAGGCAGATGGTCTGTATGGATCTAGATGGCTGTGCACAATGGCCCATGCTGGTACGTATCTTCAGCAAGGCTGGAAATAGGAAAGGTCAGAGGGAAAAGATTATCACCTACCAGGGCAGATGGTCAGCATCTCTTCCTTCCAAATACTAAGTATTGATCTACACTCATGACACTGGATTCGTGGAACACCCAAGAAGGCCTACTGGTATCTATCCATCACCCAGAAGCCTCCCCTTCCACATTCTCTAAATGCTTTATTTCAGCCGATGACAGATGTTCGGGCAACCAGAGCCACCATATACACCTGAACAGGCTGTTTCCTGCTGAGGAGGCTAAGCTGAAACCCAGCCAAGCTTTGCTTTACAAATTCTAAATTCTGGTATAGACAGAACCAGCATCCGTCCTACTCTGCATAGACAGGGCATTCCCAGACTGAGCCATATGCTGACAGGATTCTTTCCACTTAGAAGACTCTGCCTGTAGCTGGGCACAGTAGCACATGCCTGTAATCCCAGAACTCGGGAGGCAGAGGCAGGCAGAGCTCTGTGAGTTTGAGGCCAGTCTGGTCTACAAAATGAGTCTTGCCAAGGCTATACAGAGAAACCCTGTCTCAAACTAAACGAGCTGGGGGGAGAATCTACCTGTTTGGCAAATTCAAGGTCTTTACAGAGGAGCACTATACGTCTCAGTTTCTCATGTATTTCACTCAGAACTCTTCCCCATCAGTTGTCATAAAAAGCCAGAACTTCAAGTCAGCCAACCATTTCGACCACTAATTCAGCCTTTTCTTCTACCAGTCTTGCTGGCCATCACCCTCGGGTAACTAAGCTTTCTGCTCACCAATATCATTATGGTGGGCCAGGCTGTCAGCACTGTAATCCTCGTGCAAGATGAGCTTCTCTACCTCAAGCTTCGTCTCTCCAGGGTTATAGCTGTTCCGCTTTGACTGACCCAGATAGACCACGTAGTCTTCCTTCTTTGGGTGATTACTGTGAGAAATGAGACATGTCAGCCTGATCTCATCAAGTCCTGTTCCTTTCTCCTTCTTTACAGAAGCCTCAAAGTAGTATTACTTGTGCCTAAGGCCATAAGCTGTGTGGATAGAGGCTTAGCAGGAGAATTACAATGTAACTCCATAGGGAAGGAGAAAGAGACACGTTTGGGGTGTGGTGGAAGGGTGAGAGAGAAGGCAGAGGGATGCACGTACATGAAGCAATGCGTGGCACTGGCCACCCAGCAAGGACTGATGAGGCTGCCACCACATATGAAGGTGGGAGGACTCCCCCCCCTGTTCTTCCTGTAGATGGCTGCAAACCAGGGCTGGTTCTCAACGACCGTGAACTCTCCCCCAACAATCTTAAAGCGGGGCCTTAGAGCCTTCTGGCCACACTGGAACCCATGTTGGTCTAGGGAGGAAGAGGGTTTTTTGCCTAAAAAAGGGAAAAGATACATATTTTGGGGAGGCAGCAAAGAATGAAGACTCCCACTGAGGCAAACCTCATTTCTCATTTCTCCTGTAGTGGAAGGGGACAATATGTGTTTGTCTCTTTCCACACCACTGTCATAAGCAGTCAGGGATACTCACTAACAGAGCAGTCATGAACCATGCATTCTTGGACAAACTGTTTCATGCCAATCTGCACATAGCACCAGGGTCGCCTCTGGTTGTCAGGGTTCCTGGTAACATGAAAGGATAGGGAGTGTCATTCCCACCCAAAGTGTCAGTCAGAGGCTTGGATTCTTAAGCCCCATTCCTGTACTAGTATACCAGGGGCTGAGAAACATACATTTCTAAGAGGCCACGGGCATGTGTGTGTGTGTGTGTGTGTGTGTGTGTGTGTTTTAATGTATATGGGTGTTTTCCTGTATTTATACCTATGCATGCTTGCCCATTGAGGCCAGAAGAGGGTATTGGGTCCTGTAGAACTGGAGTTACAGACTGCTGTGAGTTGCCATGTGGATGCTGGGAATAGAACCTACATGCTCTGGAAAAGCAGCCTATGCATTTAACTGCTGAGACATCTCCTTAGCCCCCATGGGAAGGATTCTTAGTACTCAGTCTCCACCTACCTGCAGTAATTGTGTTTCCCCAGGCCTAGGCTAAGAGCATCAGGTCTGTGGGCATGGTAGGTTTTCTGAAGGACAGTAGGGGCATTCCAGGCCAGACAGGCCCGGCCTTTGGTGTCAGTGTTGGCCTTTCCTCGGTAAGATTGACCATTTCCATGATAGCAGGTTTTTGAGGTATCTAGAAATGATTTGAGGATTATAGAATATTAGAAAAAAGGAGGAAATTTAGACAGGTATTTCAGAGGTGACATAGTTTCAGAACTGGCAGGTGACCTTAGGAAGTTCTCCTTTTTTCCCATATTTCTGTGGCCTACTATGTGTATGACTCCTAACTTCTGCTGCCTGTTTTTTTTTATGTTATTTATTTGTTTATTTTATGTATATGGTGTTTTTCCTACTTGTATATCTATGCACCACCATGTGCATGACTGCTGGAAGAGGCCAAAAGAGGGCATCGGATCCCCTGGGACTTGGAGGTACAGTACAGATGGTTGTAACCCGCCATGTGGATACAAAAATCAAACTATAGGCCATGTGGAAGAGCAGCCAGTATTCTTAATCACTGAGCCATCTCTCTAGCTTTGCCTAACCCACCTTTTGAGACAAGGTCTTACCTCAAAGCCCAGGCTGGGCTGGGCCTAAACTTAATACCCTTTTCTTCAATCTCTTCCTAAGTGCTGGCCTTACAGACCTACACCACCAGGCCCAGCTTCTGCTCTGCTATCTTTCCCTGTTCTGCAATTTCTGGTCCTCCCCTCCTTCCCGATGAAGAGTCCAAATTCCCGTACCTATCTCACAGTGCTCCCCTTGGAATTTCTTTGGGCAGCTGCATCGGCGAATGCTGGAGAAGTACTTGTAGGACACGCATGTTCCTCCATTCTGACAGCCACAGTTTGCTAGCAAGTGCAAAGGTGGGATAAACAAGGATCAAGGGAGGAACCAGCCTCCCCAGGGGGACAGGGAGGGTATGCCTCCGAAGGTTTTCAAGATGTCTGTGCAGTCAACTATTGTGCAAAGGAAGTAGATACTCACATTCATCAGAATCTCCAAGTTCATGGCTACCCTGCAAGAGATGAGACTGGGTGTTACCAGCAGTGACATGCTCCAGGGAATCCATGTTCAGGATAAAGAGGCCCCGACCTCAAAATCCATTCTTCCCTCCAGTAATATTTATTCTCATTCTCTCTCTCTTTTATCCTTCCCATCTCCAGTCTGTTTTTGTTTGTTTGTTTTGTTTTGTTTTTTTCTAGCCAGCTTTCCAAATGAAGGCCATGAGTTTCCAGTGCCCACACATGGGCTGACTGAAGCAAACTTCACACACACCAGGCGCTCTTGGGCTAAAGCAGTCCCAGTGGCTTTTTTCTCTCCTGTCAGATAGTGCAAATCTCTGGTGCACAAGCTCCCCGTCATTCCCCAGGAAGGCCTGGACCTTCCCCATGCAGCCCCTCTTCCTCCCTGATGCTGTTTAGGAGTCCTGCAAGCCCTTCCCGAGAAGGTTAAAACAGGGAGGCCACTCACTGCAGAGCTGTTCACCACCACAGCACAGAGGAGCAGGCGCGCCAGCCAGACTTCCATGGTAGTGACCCCGGGCGCTGGGCCCCAGTTCTGCAAAGGAAGGAAGACATCAGGGCAAGAAGCAGAGCAGCTTGAAGGTGGGAGTGTTATGGCAGTTCAAGGGAAGAAGCGCCAGGTCCCCTGCAGGGCAAGTCAGCAGTGACCAAACTCCCCAAGCCTCGCAGTCTCTCTTCTCTGCGGGCTCTGGACGCGCACAACAGCATTGACCCACACTGTAGAGGGGCGCGGTGGGCTGGAGTGGTAAGCTCGCCCACAGTCCGGCTGGCCAAGGTACGGTGGGGGGAAGGGAGACGTGCAGGAGGTCTGGCTGCCTCATACCGCCAGCCTCGCTTCAGACCAACAGCACTCACCGGTGACTGCAGCGGAAGGGCGCCGGCTGACAAGCAAGGACAGGATTGATGACCCACCGTGCTCTGAGGCTCCAGTCTCTGCTCTGCGCCGCTCAACCTTTATTAGGGCGCGCCGGAGCCCTGGTCCCGCCCAGGCTTGGTGGAGGGCGGTGCTCTCACGGTCCTTTTCCTTTCCCCACGTCCCACCGCAACTGGAGGCGTTTGTTACCGCCAATTTGACAAAGTCATGAGATCCCCATCTGAGCGAACCAAGGCAGTCTCGACTGAGGGATCCGGAGGCTAGTACTTTCTTCCCATCCTTGAGTCACCTAGAGCTGCCCCAGGGTAGCATGGAGGCTCTAGGCACTGGCTCTCTAATCTCAAGACTCTTCCTTAGAGGCTAAATCAATTCTTCTCCAACCTGTCCATCTTTGACCCCTACCTGCCTGCGACACTGATTCAGATGTCCGAATATACAGAGGGATATAATTTGCAGTTCCTGTTATGGCAAAAATACCTGCTAACAAAGGTTCCTACATGTCAAATGCTGAGTCCCCAAATGTCAGAAGACAAAAGTGAGTTTGTAGTAAGGGAGTTTAAAGTGTCATCAGAGGGAGAAAGGCAAGGTCAGATTTTATTCAGATTTGCTGCTTGATTTAAGGCCAGTCTTTGAAAGATGGTTTTAAAAATCATGGAAAAGGCCATACATAGTGGCACACGCCTTTAATCCAAACACTAGTGAGGAAGAGGAAGGTCCATTTCTGTGGGCTCAAGGCCAGCCTAATTTACATGGTGAAATCCTGTCTCAAAAATAATTATTATAGGGTCTGGAGAGATGGCTCAGCAGTTAGGAGCACTGACTGCTCTTCCAGAGGACCAGGGTTCAATTCCCAGCACCCACATGGCAGCTCACAACTCTCTGTCATTCCAGTCCCAAGGGATCTGACACCCTCACGTAAACGTATATATAGGCAAAACACCTATGTACCTAAAATCAGAAAATATTTAAAAAATAACTGATAAAAATGATAAAGGTTAGTATATGACAGGATTATGAGAGCAAAGGCCTGGGATACCAACTGCTGTTGACTTTGGTTGAAGTGTCAATTGAAAATACCTATAGTGAACAATCCAGTTATTTGTCTGGGAAAGAATACAGTCAATACAGATGGTAAGACAGGACCAAGCGCATAGCTCAGTGGTATTGTGCTTGGCCCCCCAGAACCACAAAAACAAAAAATAATCAAAGGGGAAAAGTCTTATTAATGTGAACAGGATAAGAAAAACAATGGATAGTCAAACCTTGTTAATGTGGGCTATAAGTTGTGGAACAGTGCGGGTGTCTGCTCTCCCCTTGTAGTAGGGGAAGTGTGGTTCTGGAGAACAAGATAAAAGGAATGTTTATTTTTCACTGAATGCTATTTCACACTGCTTTAAAAACTTTAAACATATCCCTGTATCAGACATTCCAAAGGTTGTGAGCCTAGTCCTTAACAGCTGAGCCATCTCTCCAGCTCAGTTACACATTGTAAATGCATTTGTAGCATTCTACATCATCATAGGACATTATTATGTTAAAAATAAAAATATTGTTTATCTAGTAAAATAGTCTTCCCTAAAGACAGGTCATGTGTAAATGACTCCTGCACATCTTGAGGACAAAGCATGCGTGCACACATGCAAACATGCACACACATATGGATGTGTGCGTGCACACGCGCACCCCTCAGGCATAGTAGGAAGTGCACAGAAAGGATTCCAAGGTTCAGTCACCTTCAGTTCTGCCCTGGTGTCAGACACAAGGACTTCTGGTCATTTTGGCGCTCCTTTCATAAAAGAAGGGACTTGAGTCCCTATAATTCATTAGGGCCCAAGCCTTGCTTTATTTCCAGAAGCCTAGGCCTGTAGCATTTTCCTGCCAACCTGAACCTTGGAAAAGGTAGGAAGGAGGAGGCTGCTTGACTCTACCCCAGCCAAGGCTCAGGATGCTAGCCTCTGGGCAGAAAAAAATGCACATTATCTATCCAGCCTCAGATAGGCAGGTGGCCATCATTCTTCAGGACCGGTTTCCCTGTGCAACTGAGCTGCCAGCAACCCATAGACCGCTGAGTCAGAGATTCCATAGGTCTCAGAGGCAACTTGTTACTTCCTTTAGAAGACAGTGGCCAGTTATGTTTAGATTTAAGAAGCCATTGATTGTAAATAAACACGATCAAAATGTAAACAGAGATGTTACAGCTTGAGGATTTACCCCGAAACTCGAGTTTAGTTATTAGGAAATTCCCAGCAAGCTGTCGTGATTCACATTGCTCTCCCAACAGCTCGCATGACTCCGAATTACTTGGCTGGAGGCTGTCATGCTGATTCTTTGAGAGTAGGATGACCTCATTTCCTCCTGGACAAACAGAGACCGTTATGCAGCATGATAGCCCTCTTTCTCCTTCCTCTGCCACTTCTCCACCTGGCTGAACACTCCTAGTGCCTCCAGCACTTCACAGAATTGCCTTTCTACTGGTTAACCTTCAGGCTCCCTGAAATTTCTCATTATTTTCAGTGCAGTCTGCACTAGACTTTCAGGTCCTTGGGGGCAAAGAACATATCTTACATGTCCAGCCCTCGCCCGTCATTTGCTACAGAGGTATCGGTGAGTGCAGAGCAGAGAATAGGAACGGAGAGCTTGGGACATCTGCAAGCGTGGTCTCTCTCTGCATATATATACATTAATGACTAACTCCAGGTCACTAATAACGCATCGGTGTTGCATTTAAAAAGATATAAATATAAAAGATATATAAAAGCACTTTCCCTTCAAGTCTTCCAGCCAAGAGCAAGTCTACATTTGAATTCTCCACTTCATGATTACTGTGTCTTATGTCCTGTCTGTTGTCTGAATGTGTGCTTGCCTGAAGGCTGTCTTGTGAGTTTGTTTGTCCCTGTTTCTATCCCTGTATGTGTCTGTTTGTTTTCTGGGCTTGATGTGTGAGTGATGTCTGTCTGTGTTTGCTGTGTGTGTCTCTATGTGTAAGTGGTTTCTGTATGTTCCTACAAAGGGCTTTGTTTTGTATTTATTGAACAGCATAAAAAGCATCGCATGGGGAAGAAACGGGATACTTTACAGAAATCTTTAACATAGTTTTACAAGGGATTAAGACACTGGCTTCACCTGATTCCCAACTACCAGATTAAAATATCATTGTTTATCAATAAATATCTATAAATAGTTTCTCTTAATCTTTATGGTAGATTATAGGAAACTGCTTTTAACTTCTCTATTTGGTGCTTTCAACAAATGATTGATATTCATTATGTTGGTCAGGGCATGGAAGAGTACATAACCTAAGATCACAGCTGTGGGTTAGCTTCTGTTGTAAAGCTGATTATGTAGAAATTCCAAGGCAAATAAGCTTGTTACATTTCCGTCTCTTCCTCTCTTCCTCCCTCCCTTCCTTCCTCTGTTTTTCTCTAAATAGTACAGGCTTATATCTTTTTTTTTTTTTTTTGTCTAGTGCTTAAAGAGATTTTCAGATACATCATTCCTCTTCTAATGCAGAGCTTCCCTATGAAATAGAATTGTCATTCTCATTCTGCAGGTAAAGAAAATATGGCAAAGGATGGTAAATAGTTGGTGAGTGACAAAGGTAGAACTAGGATCCAGGTACTCTCTTCCATGTCCCTGTGCTCTGTGTCACACAGTCTCCATAAGGAGGCAGAATGCTGTAAAGAGAGGTAATTAAGATGTTTAGGTAGGTAGTATAAAATATTCCAGCCCAGGTGTTTGCCTCAAGCCTTGCTATTCTGGAGACCTCCTTCCAAAAACACTTTTTTTTTTTTTTTTTTAAGGATGCCAGTGCTATAATACAAGTTATTTGCTTGCCTGAATTCCAGGAACTTCCTTTGTGGTCTAAACTGCCTGAAGTTTCTGTTGAGAGTGAGGAATAAGGAAGTGAATGTATATGATTTCATTATTTTCTTGACTCTAAAAGGGAAGTCGCCAACACTGTCTTTTGTATCTCAGGAGGGCAGAGCTCCTGAGTCACATGTGGCAGCATATACTAATGGAGGAACTCTTTGTGGACTCTGTTTATAAAAGGGCAGGCAGATGCAGGAATCCAGGCTGCACTAGCAAAGTGTCTAAACCTAATCTAGCATCCTATATCCAGGAAAATGAGTCCCTGAGAGCTTTTGGTTTGGGGTTTTGTTTGTTTGGAATTTTTTTGTCTGTTTTGTTTGCGATAGGGTCCTTTTATGCAGCCCTCAATGTCCTGGAATTCTCTATGTAGACCAGGTTGGCCTTGGACTCAGAGATTCGATTAAAGGCATGTGCTACCATATTCAAACCATGTACTTTAGGTTTTTGAGACAGGGTCTTGTATAGCCCAGGCTGGCCTTAAACTGATTCTAGTCTGCACTTCCCAAGTGATAGGATTATAGGCCTGTGCTGTCATGCCCATCCCTTAAAGGCTATTTTCTGACTAGCTGGGTCCAGAAGGAAGTTCATGTTGAGTCATGGGATATATTTCTGGGTTGCTGTACTAAGAACATTGAGCATGGTACTGTAGTGGAATGATTTTAAACAAGTTACCTAACTCTTGACTTCAGTTCTCCCATCTGCAAAATAAAAAAAGCATTGGTCCCACCTGCACCTGTTTGGCAGATTGGATGAAGTCATGCCTTTGTGTGAAAAGTGTTCATTCATTCATACATTCGTTCGTTCGTTCATTATTTATGATTGGCTACTATGTGCTAATGTAGTTCCAGATGCTAGAAATGAAAGATGAATTTTGTAAACTGTAATTCATATCTGGAATGCTTCCCTTCTTTTCTTGTCTGTTTTGGTCCAAAAGACCAGGTCATGCTGGAGTCCATCTCAGAATTCCAGTTAAGTGGGGATGCTATGTCCTTGGCCCACAGTCCCTAACAACTGGACAGCCGGGAAAGACAGCTGCATACGCTGGTCACCCCGCACCCCGCCTCCCGTCTACCCCCTCATCTGCGATTCTGTGCAGGGAAACTTTTTTAGAACCTTCTTTCTTACCTGTTGGCAAACAGACCCCCGAGCACTTTGGGGAAAGGCCATGGAATTG